AAGATGCTCTGCACCCATCCTACCCACCTCGCTCCCTGCCACCGGGCCTAACTGCTGTAAGAATGGTTTACCCCAGTTTTCCTAAAGATTACTTTCCCTTTGATTAGACAAACAATTTCAAGCCGTACGTCTTAATTTGATTTGAATAAGCCTAGTGCTTGCCGTGAAGTTTTTTTTCCTCCCTTTTATTCCCCCCTTTTCTAAATCTGCTGTCACTGCTCTTCATGACCACAAATGATTAAAAGCTTTACAGGAATATTGTCCCCCCCCCATCCCTTAAAGTCCTGTTGTATTACTTGGGTCATATTTTTGTTATGATTTTTTTTCCTTGTTGAGTGATTCTCCATTTTCCTTATTAAACGATCAGCCAGGTGAAAGGGATTATTTTTGTCCCGGTCTCCTGCAGAGCCCGGCGCGGGCAGGGAGAGGGTGCAGGGACCCTGCCCCACTTCCCACTGACGTTATTCCCTTCGGTTCCCCCTCTGGGGCCAGATCCAGCTCGTGGCTTTGCTTTCTGCAGCCGAGGGAGGAGCATCTCTTCCCCGTAAACGCCGCTTCCCGTGGGAGGCCGTGGCTGAGCAGGTTGGTGCAGCTTGAGCTCTCCGAGGGGCCGCAACCAGCCCCACCGAGGCAGGGACCGGCTCTCCAAAACGCTGCCGGCAGGCAACAAGAACATCCGTGTCGTAGCAGTCATATTTAATAATAATTAGGGCACTCAGAAATATGTATGGGCATCAAAATAAGGCTGTTTTCCAATAGAGTGCTTGGGGGGGGGTTAAGAAGGGAGCGGTAGTCCCTGGACCGAGTCCTTTCCCGACAGCAGCCCCCAGGCGATGGCTGGTGCCCAGCCCAGCGTTGCGGCTGCCCGGTGTCCTGCGGGCCGGGAGAGCGGCTCAGGGCCGTCACCGCCGTCACCTTGCAGCTCCCTGCCAGCTGCAACAAGGCACCTCTTATTAACACAGCATTGATTAAAAGCAGAAATCTTGAGTTCCCTGCACCCGCAGGGCTGCGCGCAGGGAGCTGCTTGGGAGCGTGTACAAGAAATAGTCCCTCGTCTGTCTGTCCATCCATCCATGCACAAATTGCAGGGCTGGAGCAAGATAGACCGTTTCCCAGCGTTGCTGCAACCCTTCGTGATGGTAAAGCTGGAGGTGCCAGGCAGAGCCCTGTCCCCAGTGTGGGGACGTCCGGGGGGCTGTGCCGGAGGGCAGGAGCGCCCAGGCTGCAGGACCGCATGTTTGGTTCCCTGCTTTATTTTCCAAGCTGATGCCTAGTTTTGGGGTTTCCTCCCCAAAAAAATCCTCAAGATCGTCCTGGGGGAGAAGAGTCGTCCATCAGCTTCGTTAAGAAGTGTCAGCTGGGTGTAAGGGTTTTGCTGGGTGGCTGTCAGTGTGGTCCAGCAGAAGTGCTGGCACGCTCTTCCAAAAGCGCTGGTGAGGCCTCGGCCCTGCTTGCCTGCTCTCACCGGCCAGTGACGCAGGGGAAGCCAGCCTGGAGGTCTCATCAAGAGCAATTTCTGAAATTCAGTCATTATTCTTTAATGGGGAATTGTCTCCACCCTCGTTAGCTTGCTGCACGCCCACGTAACAGCGAGGTTTTGCAGGGCCGAGGGCACGTTCGTCAGCTCCCTGCCCTGTGTGCGCTCAGGCACCTGCAGAGATGCCAGTATGGGGGGACTTGTTTTGGGCCAAAATCCACCATTTCCCTGGTTGCATGGGGCAGGAAGGCCCCGCTTTGTGTGCAGATTCCTTCTGCTTGGACACGGGTGCGAAGCGGGGCAGGAAGGTGAATTTGGGTTTTTGCTGTTGACTTTTAACCCTTGTTTTCAGCAGGGCCGAGCGGCCGCAGTTATCGGCTGAGCCGCAAATCGAGTTACGTGCAGGCAGCTTCATTCATATTCCCCGGCTCCTGCCCGTCTCGCCTTGTTAGAAATTCTCTGGCCTCTTTTATCCGCTTGCAGCTTCGAGCACATGATTTACGATCCGGTTCGAGTGGCTCCCAAGCGTTGCTGGCTAATTTGCCACCCTTTATTCGCAGGATTAAAGCCGGGCGGCGTGACACTGCCCTGCGGATGGAGGGGCGATAGCTGGGAGGGACCGCGCTGGGTGCTGGGGAGGTGATGCTGTACTGGGTGTGGGTGCCCCGGCGTGGGAGTGGGGCGATTTATGCAGGGCGAGCCCCTGCCTCAGTTTCCCCCACAGCATCAGCATCGCCATGGGTCATGGTGAGACGTGTGCATTGGGGTGCAGAGACCTGGCACAGTCGCTGCACATGTGGTGGGGCCCTGGCTTTTTTCCCCCTTTTTTCCCCATTTTGCAGTGTGGGATGGAGCTCCCAGAGCTGAGCCCCTTCTTGGCCACAGGGTCCCGGCATGCCGCCCGGTCCTGCTCCCGCTGGCACGGTCCCCCAGGAGCTGTGGGGTGAGACGATTTAATGACGGAGCCCCTCGCCATGAGCTGTCTCTCTTCCTTGGGGCGAAGGCAGAGCACCCCGTGGCTTTGGCCCGTTTCAGGGACACCTTTGGGTGCTGGGCTCTCCTCTTGCCCAGGGTATAGGGAGGGAGGCGCGGTGACAGCCAGCACGGTGTCCTCGCAGGGACACATGTGTCACCCCCTGCTCACTGCTGCCCGTGAGCTCGGGCACGGGAGCGCTCCGCATCTGCTTCAGCGCTGCATCCTCCGGCTCGGCACAGCCGCAGCCTGCTCGTCTGGGGCGTCCCACCACATGGTCCCTCCGGCACACCCCGCACGGTGGTGGCATCTCCCCGGGGGTGAGTCCCGAGGGTGGAGGTGACCTGGCCACTGCTGGGACACGCAGCATCAACCCCAGGGTTTGGTTATGGTGCAATTATCTGCCTTTAGCAGAGGAGACGTGGGGAACATGGGGCTCAGGCTGGCCCCGGCCTCTCTCTGTGCCTCAGTTTCCCCTGTGTATCCATGCCAGTGTTGCGCCGTAGCCTGTGGCACGCACTGGTGTTGGGCTGCGCTGGCGATGCTCAGTGCCGGCTCTCCGTTAGTAACAGCAATGCATATACCATTTTTTTTTCTATTTTCAGGTGAATATGGCCCTGGCAGGGAAGCCTTTAGACGTGACGCTCAGCACCTCCAGAGCTGACCAGTGGACTATGGGTTTTCCCCAGAAAGGCGAAATCATCACCAGCTTAGTGTCTGCCTTAGACTCCATGGTAAGAGGCTGGTGGCGTCCCCGTCCCCCTCCATCGTTTCGCCTCCCTTTAATGGGGCTGGCTGGGAGCAGGGCTGAAGCAGGAGGGCTGTTGAGCTCGTCCCGCTCCCCTCCGCTACTGGAAAGCCCAGGGAGCTGCCGGAGCTGGGAAATAAAACTCCTCTCCCACCCTGACAGCCATAAGGATCATAAAGTCAGCCCAAGTTAATCTCAGATGTGTATTGTCTTCCCATTAATATTTATGTTGGTATCAACTGAATGTAGGGTGGTTGGGGTGGTTTTTTTCTTGATGTTTTACCAATGTTACCGTGAGCTTTTACACAACAGGAGAACAATGGCTTTTATCTCCGAGAACAAAGAAAATAACTTTCATATCTTTTGACGTAGAATTCCCGGTGGAAACCTTGCCTAAGTCAGCCGTGCTTACATAAACAAGATAACTGTCTGGATTAAGTCTCGTGGACCAGAGCTAATCTTATTTTTAACTGTGAATGTGATCAAGAAGGGAAAGCGGGTGTGTAGTAACAAATGTCTAATGCAATGCGACGTGCTAAATAGCCCTCCCTTTTTAAAGCCAAGTCATATTTAATGTATTTATCTTGGATGCGTCTTCTTCTCTATGCAGGTAGGGTTTTTTTTTTCACTAATTCTGATTTCCTTCTTTTCGACCATCACTGCCCCACTAAGGAGCAGGTTCCCCAGAGCTGACGCACCCCAAGCAGCTTTGATGATTTATATACGTGCCACCCCATACAGCAAATCACGTTGTCGTAGTTTGGCTTCCACAGTCCTCGTTACGTGCAGACAGCAGGGCCAGGAGGCCAGGCTGCTCTTGAAATTCAGCCTTTGTCCTAGCGCTTCACCATGGCCGGGCTCTGCGCCCACCGAAGCCTGGCTGTCTGCGTGCGTGATAAATCAACCATGGGGCCACGTGCACATCGCCAAGCGGGCTTAGGGTTTGGATTTGGTCTGCCTCCAAATCTCACATCCCTAGATTTTATATTTATTTTTTGAGTGTTGGGCTTTTTGAGCAAGTACTTTCATTTGGCTACTGGGTTCTTGAAAGGAGGTTTCTTAAAAATACCTATTTTTGGGGATGTGATTCAATGCCCTCTTCTTGAAGATGAGCAGGAGGTAAAATTACCCAATATAGAGACTGGTTTAAGCCTACGCAAATCAAACTGGCTGTAAATGCATGCGGGGAGTCTGAAGGTAGCTCCGGGGGGTTTGGGCCATGGGCAGCTGCTTTCCTGGTCCCTCCCCGGCTGCCAGCATCCTCTGGCCCCTCCGCGGTGCCGGGGGCGGGCGACGTGTCTAACCGGGGCTGATGATGGGAAAATCTCCCCTGTTTTACCCATTTAAATCGTGACCTGGGGATAACGACTTCATAGCGTCGGTGCTGTAGCTATGGGAATATGACTCAGGCTGCCGGTGTAACTGCGTAACTATTATAATACAAAAAATAATAATAAAAACATATATACATGTGTATTATGTAGAGCAGGAAGCACACGTTACATAAAATGGATTAACGGAGGAAGTCTTTTCCATCTCTTTAATGTTTTGCATAACTGTACAAGAAGAATCATTCGACTAATCCAGACTTTGACCATATTAGTGTTCTGCAGCTGAAATAAGATTCCCGTACTCCTTATTTCATTAGAGCTGCTGGAAAAATACAAATTGTTGTTGGTTCTGGGTTTTTTTACAGGAATGTTTTCTTTTAAAGAAATACTATAAAATGTTTACATTTAGGATAGGAAAAAGTGAAGTGAAATGATGGGTAAATAGTTCTTGTTTTCCAGCAAAGCATAGCTCAGCCAGATACCTTTCTGGAGCTGTAAAGTTGCTGAAGTGTTTAGGGGATGTCATAAACCCCATGAAGTTCTGACCCGAACCAGAACATTGCTTTTGATGGGGGGATTTTTTGCTGGGAAGAAAAAAAATCCCACTGGAAAATGGCAGGGGGTGCCAAGCGGGGATGCTCCCGCAGCCGCTCTGACCCGCTGCCTCCCCACAGTGCTCGGCGCTCTCCAAGCTGAACGCGGAGGTGGCCTGCATCGCCGTCCACGAGGAGAGCGCCTTCGTGGTGGGCACCGAGAAGGGACGGGTCTTCCTCAGCGCGCGCAAGGAGCTGCAAGCCGACTTCCAGAAGTTTTGCAGTGAGTATCCCCGCCGGCGCGGTCTTCTCCCGTGCCGAGGTTGGTGCTCCAGTTGTGCCAGCCGGGACCCCCGCTGGGGAGGGGGGGGTTGTGGTTTGGGGGGGGGGGGCACCATGGCACTGTTTGTCCGTGGGGCTGAGCGGTGTTTAAAGTGATGGAGAAAGCGGGTGGGAACCGCGGCCGGAGCCTCTCCCCTCCCAGGGAGGGCACCGTGCGCCCCGGCTCTCCTCTCCCAAAGCGTCCCTGGAGTGGCACGGGGCTGGATGGCTGCTCTGCTCCCCCGTCGCTGTCGGTCTGTGGCAACACTGCCGGTGCGCTGGAGTGGCTTTTGAGGACTTAGCAGAAATAGTTTGTCCTAGTGATCCCCCAGGAGCAGAGAGGCTTTCCTGGGCCAAGGCTTTTTTCCTGGTTTTAGAAAGACAGGGATGGATTTGGGAGCTGGGAGCGTTGGTTGTGGAGCTGCTGATTTTTTTGAGGGGCTAACAGTGGTGAAAGGATGACTTGAGCAAGAGCTGTGGTCCCCCTGGTCTCAGATTGAGGTCAACAGGTATCGCAGGGACGTGTGTGACTGGTGGCAGCCCTGCATGTGGTGAGGCGAGCACCCAGCCCTCTGTGCTGTCTCTGTGCCTCTGCCAGCTCTCCAAAACCAGCCTGGGAGCTGAGAGGAAAGTGGGAGCCGTGCGGCATACGGGGACCTGCATTTCTTGGATGGCATCATCCCCGGCACGCCAACCGCTGCTTTCCCCACTCCGTGCAGGAGCCAGGACGGGATCTGGTTTTGGTGGTGCTGGGGACCCCAGAGCCGGGGGGACCCCAGACCCGGATCTGCTCACACACGCTGCCCACGGGGGATGTCAGTGGAGAGAAATGACCTGGCCGTGTGTACACACACATGGTGTTGACAGAAACCATATTGGTGCTTAATCCGTTGGAGAGATTGCTCAGGAAGGGTTCGCTCTAGTGAAAATATTGGCGCTGTAAAGCTGCCAGGGTTGCTGTCTGCTCGGGTTATTCGCTGCACGTGTGCGGGGTGAGCCGGCACGGCTTTGGAGGAGCGGCTCCGGGCTGAGGCTCCGCTCTGCCCCTCCGTCCTGCCCGCTGTGGGCAGCTGCCTGCCACCTCCGCCACGCCACACGCACCCAGGAGAGCCACCGTTAGTTATCCTCTGCTTTGGCGCGTTGTGTTTTGCAGGACGGGAGGCATTTTGGGGACGTTTCCTGCGTTCGCGGGCGGCTCTGCCTCCCCTTCCCACCACCCACGAGAGGCAGGGAGGTACCCGAGCAGTGAACGGCAGCGGGGTGGCCAGCGGGCGGGAGCTCCATCTTATATACTAAATGCCAACTGTGTCTCCCTAGAGCTCACAATATTTGATGACCTTCTGCAAATCTCACTTCTAGAAATATATAGACATATATCCTGGCTGGTGACCTACCACTCTGCTGGGGCAAGGCGCCCGGCATTAGATCCTGATTCCCCTCTCCGTTGGTTTCATTTACACCTTTGTCAAAATGAAATGGTCACGTCTGGTTGAAAGCACAAAATCTTGACGATGGGGTTCGGCTGAAGCGGCTGATGCTGGAGACAGGGTGAAACGTGATAACTCTGTCTTGAATTATAAATGGCCCAGGCTCAACTCTGCTCCATAAAGCTCTTACAACTGGCACGCAGTGGAAAGCATCCCTGGAAGTGCCTCTGATTTATGGTCTAGCTGCCCCCTTAGAAAGGATCTGAAATAATCTAACGCAGACATCGCTGGGAGATGTAAGAAGCCTCTTATCTCTCCGGGCACGCAGACCTCGCTTGAACGCGCTCCTTTATCTGAACCTCTGGCTCAGCCTTTCCCGGCGCACGGGGGGAACTTGACAGTGATCAGGATTAATGTCAATGGAGGAGAGTTTGCGCCCAGCCGGGAGGGAGAGTCAGTCGTAGGAGGGTGTGGATGAGGATGCATTTCACCACCTTAGTAAAACACCCCAAAAAAGTTTTCCAGGGCCTGTTTCCCCGTGCTGTGGGAGGGATGCGGAGCTTGCCATGGGTTGCACGGTGTTGGGTGGCTGTCCCCTTTCCTGTGGCCGGTTGTGTGGGTACCCTGGGTGGCTCTTGCCCCCATCCCAGTGATGTCCCAGCCACGGCTGTTTCCATGGGAGGGATCCACGAGCTCCTCCTTGAGCGCCCAGGCAGCATCCAGGGCTGATTGCTGGCAGGAGCCTGTCGAGGATGATGAAGGAATTAGTCCTTCGCCACTGAAAATCCCTTGCGAATCACTTAGGATAGAACAGCAATAATGCACTTGTAGTGTTTAATTTTCTGTGCATTTAGAGATGCAAGGAAGTCGTTGCCGAAGATATGCTTTATTTGAGGTTTAATGGGGGAAATTAGCAGGAAATAGCTGGTATTACCAAGCTACGTGACGCTGAAGGGTAAAAAAGCCTCCAAGAAATGCGGATTTTCTTTTCCTGAGAGATTGAAGGCTAAGCAGATTGAAACCAGAGAAAAGAAATGCGCTGCCCAATTAATCACAACAGTTTCAGTGCAGCTGAGTGGATAAAACCAGGGAAAGGGGGGGGCACGCACAGGATGACCGACCCCGCTTCCAGCTGCGCTGCTGGCAGCTCCCCGTGCCAGCCCCTTCCCCTGCACATCGGGGGCTGCTGGGAGCCGCGGCCCCATGGGGCTGGGGTGGGTGGGAGACCCGGGGCACCCACCTGCCTGGCCAGAGGACTTTGCTGATGCCGTGGGGGGCGGTGAGGGGCCCAGCACCCGTGGGACTGCCATCTTGCGTGGGGTTTAGTGGGCAGGGATGTGCTCAGTCCTGGCTGAAGTTGGCATAACCCGGCCAGCGGGTTTGATCACTTCACAGCCGCTCAGAAGCACGTGCGGCATCGCCCATGAACCCTCTTCTCACCGCAGCGTCTCCCATTTTCTCCTCTCCCCCCCACAGAAGTCCAGCAGAGGAAGGAGCAGGACGTGGAAGTGCAGAAGAAGGCAAAGGAGTGTGGGCGAAGCGTGCTCAGGGTCTCCCCGGACCAGGGATCAGACGTGTACCTCCTCAGGAAGATGGTAGAGGAAGTGTTTGATGTGCTTTATAGTAAGAACCTTCACGCTTCCATTTGGGGATTTGGATTGCCCCCAGGGCTCGCTGAGCTGCCTGGCGCCGCCGCCAGATGCGGCTTTCGGCCCCAGCCCGGCTCCCCGGCGAGGGAGCAGGTGCCTGGCAGGGGCGGCGTGGCGGGACGGGCTCCTGCGTAGGGTTAGTGTTGCGTTGAGATGGGATCCAGCCACTGCTTCTTTACTTTCCAGTGCCCCAAACTGGGCAAAAAAAATCCCTGTGCTGGGGGGGAGCATCCTCTGTGCCCCCAGCCAGGGGAAGCCTCTGCCAGGCCCTGAGAGTGATTTTTAAGCACACCTTTATCCCTGACGCCGTGTCTACAGCACCTCTTTCACAGGCTCTGTGTCAGGGCTCTGCAGAGACTCTCTCACCCCTTTCCCTGGCAAGTCTATTTAAATGGAAAAAAGATGATTTTTCTAGCAGGCAGCCCCGTCTCCGAGAGACGAGCTGGTGCCATTCCAGCACATGCATCATCCCCGGCAATAAAGCTTCTGCAATTAAAATGTAGATGACCATATGGCTGTTGATATGTAACCCAGTGGGTTGCAGAGCTCCCTCTGGGCCCAATCTGCGGAGGCTCGAGCGGCGGCAGTGCCTGCTTCTCTCTCGGGAGGTCCCTGCGGGAGCCCCCACGGAGTGGCTGGAGGTGGCGGCCGTGCCGGCTCTTCCTCCCCCGGCAGCGCCTACAGGGCCGTGCTGGCT